TTTATATGGCAGTTTTTCTCGCACTGGGTTACAAACCGCTCAAAACTGCCAACTACAGCTACGTAGAGGTTTCAGCCCTTCACTAAATCTTGATATTAGTTAGCAAAGTCTGGAGAAATGGAATGCTCGAATAGGGAGTGAAGAGCTTCAAATTACTCCGGTGGTCAGGGGACGCTGCTCCTTCCCACTTATGATCTGCTTTCTTGAAACCTACAGTGTTTGTCTGAGGATTGGAGCCAACCAGAAATGAATTAAGGTGGCCCTCTTTGAGTGCTGGTGGAAATGGAAATCAGATCGAAGGAATGTATGCTTCAGCTCAACCAAAACAGGATCGAGCCTGCTGGGTGTTCAAGTATAATGTGGCAGATCTCACAACTTTGCCACTATCAAGTATCCTAACATATCTAATCGCTTCAAGGAATTCCCTAAATGAGATTCAATCCATAAGTGACCCATAAGGATAAGATTGATTGGAATAAAACAGATGATCGCGAGTGCATGCCTCAGCAGCTAAGCAGACCGCCAACCACAACCTGCCATCGTTCAGAATCGGGGAAAGCGACGGCGTCACATAAGGAAAACACATCGTTATATCGTGATTCGACGTCCTCCTAGGCGCAATACGTTCCGTCTGCTGCGGGTGTGAAAATGGAACTGATATGACGACCTGTGAACACTAACGATCGACTCAGAACGAGACTTTACCAATAACCAGTTTGACAATACCTGCAATACAAAAAAGTGTGATGCTCGTTTTTTCTAAATTGTTTGGGTGTGGTTTTCTTCATTATCTTCTTAGATCAATTCCCAAGACGTTGTGGGAAGATTCCTTCCCAGCATCGCGCCCAAGCGGCGAATGAGACTGATAAAATGACGACCGCTACTGCCCCCCACCCACTACTACATCTGAGAAGGCAACTACAGTAGGGCTACAGAGTCGGATTCCAATAGGAAACACATCAAGAAAACCCTTTACCCATTCTACCCACAGGGTTCAACCATTTCATTTCTTGAGATTGGGCAATGTTTAAGAAAGGGCAGTGAATTGATGATTCTGCTTATTCAGCGGTTCCACCGAAAAAAATTGCTGAGTACCAGCTTCACGTACTGGGCGACCAGGTTCCGCTCTGAAGCCAACCTGGCTGGTACCAATTGGGGAAATTGAAGCAAAAAGATTTTGCTGTGGTGTGGTGCTAGTTTTTTGACGATCAAGTTCGCAGTAAGGAATTTGTCATTGTAATTTATGGCCCAAGAGGACCGTGAAGGACAACGTTTTTGGTGTCAGCCGATCTCGTCCTTGAGATGCGCCCTGGCAATCGACTTTCATTTGCGATGGTAGCTTCGTTTTGAATGCGTACATGCTTTTACAATGTTTTGCAGTGACCAGCCAATGCTCTTAACCTCCCAGACGAGTCTGCTACCAAGTACCCGATTCCGACAGAGTGGAAAACTTTGGTCGGCCTGGGCGGGTATCAATTTGGTATGGGATCTAGACCACAATAGTGAGGGCCACTTGCCACCACCTTCACCACCTCCGCCTCTGATAGCTTTTTGGGAAAGGGAAAAGATATAAAAGGTCTTGAAATTCAAAACGTCGTAGGATTCATTCATACCAAAGAGATTAAGGCTATTCTTGGGCTTATGTCACAAAAAGGCGTGCTAACCGTATTCGCTAGACACCTATTTCCAAACAGTAAACCAGTTCTCAAATGGATTACGTTCGGCGATACGACGGAACGTCTCAAAGTAAATAGTAATAAGAGCTTTTTAAGGTTTCAATTTCGTTCAAAGGGCCGACGCTGTGAAATCGAATGTCGGATCGATGGCATCGTTAAAGCATTCGATAGCCCTTTGACAGCAAAGGTAATAGGGCTGGATCGGGAAAATGTGACTCGGCGCCATCACGACAAAAAACCTATACAAAGGACAACTTTAGCAATTTATTGCTGCCAAGTGGAGAACTCGTCCAATCGAACAGTATTACCCCAAAGATATCAACCGCCCACGATTTCAATGGGAACAAAGCTTCGTGTGGACAGTGAAGATGCACTTACACCAACTTTACTCCTTAAAAAACGGTATCAATTCCATCCTTTCAGGGCTCCGACGAAGGTGGTTTCACCGAATCGTTAGCTATTAAGGTATTGTAACTTCGTGTGGAGTTGTATAAACAAAGATATTTCGATAGAAACTTTTTTGTTTCCATCTCGTTCCTTTTACGCTTTGGGTCTTGTGAATGGCAACACAATCCCAAATAACTTGAGTTTTAAACTCAGCTTTTTCTCCGGCATTTCCTTCATTCCCAACTTTATGCCGGGCTCCCACCTCTTCAAGCAGCTTTCAGCTTTCCCCACGAACGAAGCAATCCTTCCTGCTTCCTCGAAGCTCAGCAACCTTACCGGACCCAATTCCGGGCCTACAAGCACTCTTCGACCGCAGTTTAACCGCGTCAGTACAGAATTCGGGTAATTTGGAATTGGAATGCCAACTAGAAACAACGTGTAGACCTACAACGGTCTTATGTAAACAATTGTATCGTATGTCCTACTGTTCGTGTCGCGAAAATCTCCAAAACAGAGGGTAAAGAAAGACAGCGGGCAGAGTCGGAATGATGGTATGTCGGATAATGGTGACCATTGCTCATCGCCTTGTTCCTGCTTTCAACCCATAAGCAAACTAACCTAATTCACTGGCTGGTCCTATCTATTGCAGTTTGAAGCTTAGTATAGAAGCCAAGGGTTTTTAGTACACCCTGGGATGGGTGTGGGATGTGTTACCTGGGGCCCGAGTTAGCAAAAACTCGGAGGAAATTTATTCCTTTGGGTCCGGCCCTTATTTTCGATTGATAGCTAGGTGACAAAGAGGTGGGAACTATTCGGTAATTAGAAAAACGAGATCGTTTTGATGACAAACAGGAATTCAGATGGTCTTAACCGGCCTTGAGTTTTAGGTGATTCCTCTTCGCCTTTCCATTTCATTCTTTTCCATTCCATTCCTTTTCATTCCTTTTCACACCATTCCATTTCATTTCATTTCATTCCAACCCAATCCTTTCCTCTCCTTTCCTTTTCATTCCTTTCCTTCCACCTTCACCATCTTAATCGCATTTGCTCGAAGTAGAAGTTCTGACCGCTTTGAAGAGTCCCAAGCCGTCTGAGAGCTCGAACTCCTAGACCCACTCAGTCGTTACCTGCACGTTCACCTGTCCTTATCGAAGCTACCCATCTTTTCAACTGTTATCCTTTTTGTCTTTTTCGGTGCTTCACTCAACTAACTTCGTTTACCCTTCTCGTTCAGTTCCACGATGCCACCTGGATTACTTGAATGCAACACGACCAGCTCTGTAGCGATTCATACTTTTTGCGCAGGGCAAATGTTGATTAAATAGTTCGTTTATCATTTATTTAGTTGTTTACTCAGGGCTCCATATAATGATCTCTTAGGAACTGAGACAGAAACCTGCAACGATCTAAAAAACTAGTCGTACACTTAAAGAAAAACCTGAGTTTGTGAATGAAGGTCGCTAAGCACCTGCACTTTGCTCGATGAAAGGATCAACACCAATTTAATATATTGACGACTTCTTGTAAAAAAAAGCGAGCAAAAAGGGTTGGGCCGTGCTGTACCATGGAATTACGTCAGTGAGGATGACACTAAAATGAAAATTCAGTCCGGCACTCGGCTCTTACAGTAACCCCCTGGCATACCCCACAACCCACCCCCGTGTCCTTGCCCAAAGCCCTTTTTCGACGCGTCTTATATGTGACGGGTAAAAATATGCGTATTAACACGTGCCGGATTACTGTAAGAACCGAGTGCCGGACTGAATTTTCTTTTTTTTCTTTTTTCTGTGAAGATGACTGCAACCGAAGCATCGACTCCACAGGTGAGTTTCACAGAATGGCATGGAACCTCGGTAGTGTAGGGGATAAGAGCGCGGTGTCCGAATAGCCCAAGCACGGGTTCGAGCCCGGTCCGAAACCGAATTTTGCTTATAACTTGCCTTAAAGGTAAAGCATTTAGCAAAACATCAATTCCAAACCAAAGGTGAGTATTCTGGAAATAACAACGGGTCTGAGGAAAAGATGATGTTCAGCAGACAGCGCCTGAGAATTCAGGACAAAACTAGCGGGGAGCGAAAAAGAGCGATTTGCAACGGATAAATGTAACAAAAGAAGTTGGGAAGGTAAACCGCCGCGAATGCATCATAAAGAAGAGTAAAAAAAATAAGGAAAGACAGAAAAAGTAGAGCTAAAAAATATAAAAATAATAAAAAAAGGATCGGCAAGTTTTTATCTGCGAATTTTGTGTGATTTTTTTTTGCTTAAATCATTATATAAACCTGATTCAGTAACATGCTCGTCTATTTCGTGAAAAGAGGCGCTGTGGAAGACACGACAACTGTCAAAAGCCTTCGAGTAAAAGTTGTGAGGGTAGAAGTAGATTTTTTTGGCTTTAACCTTTCTGATGACAAAAATTGATATTTTTGAAAAGATTGCGTGATGGAGACGGAAAAGTTTCCAAGATTTTTCTATTAGTCCCTTCCACGGAGACTGAACAATTGAATTTTTTTGCTGTCAATGCTCCCTCGAGTCTGCTGCAGTATGAAGTAGAAGAATTGTAATGCAGGCAAAATGAGTTCAGCAAGTTTCATATTGGTTGTAAGTTTTGTGAAATATCGATAGGAGAATATAAAATTGGCTGAGAGGATATACTGCACATGGTGATCATTCCTGTGGTCGCTCCTGCCGGGAGTGAAAGGCTGCCGCTTCACCTACTGTACCCTTTCTTTTCGCCAAAACTGCTTTCTTCCCGGTTCTTGTAATTGGAGGCCGGACAGCTATGGTACTCGAGGAGGTAAGCAAACCAGCCCGTTTGGTTCTCCTGCTGAATTCATTTGCTTATTCTGCGATTCTGTTTAAGGGTCTCGTGATCCCACTCAGGAAAATTACGTGGAGAGTCGCTTCCAAATCCCAGGGAAAGTTCTTTATGCGGTGTACATAGGGCTGCCGTGCAACTGTGACAGTGTGGTGTTCTTTAACAGTTGATTCATATATTCGCCCAATGTCTTCTACATATTAACAAGGGAGTGTCTTCCACCTGGGATTTTAAAGCGGCTCTCCACGTACTTCCTCTGAGTGGGTTTGCGAGACCCTTAAAAAGAATCGCAGAATAAGCAAATGCATCCAGCACAAGGGCCAAACGGGGTGGTTTGCTTACTTCGTACTCGAGTATTCACTGCTACATATTGTCGACGGTAGCCATCCGTGGGTGACCTAACTCAGACGAGAAGCCAGTCGCTTTGGGTGCAACTTATCTAGTGCATTTCAGAATCATGCTTTCTTCATGTTCCTTGTGATCAAAGAGTGGATCTAAATCGCTTCTGACTACCTGCTTCTATACAGACGTGAATCGTGCTTGGCTCTGCTCAGAAAGCCACACATGGTCACCCTCCACTATCCAATCGTAAGTGCAGAACTCAGGCAGAAATATTTCATGGCTTATAGAGTTCCGATGTCGAATAAAGAAATTTTTGAGAAAGTTCCCGTGCTTAATATTGAAAGCATTTTACCAGTTTTCCTAATGCTGTTTCACCAACACTGAAATAATTGGATCATCTATTGAAGATTGGCTTTGACCACCCAGTCAATCTTCTGGAACTACTGTATCCAAAGGAGGGAGGGAATTTGAAACTTCTATAACATGGCATGTTGTGGGAAGTAAAGGTTTTAAGCTGTAATTGTGAATGAAACAAGGGTATCATTTCCAGAAATGGCTCTGATGAAAGCTTAATAGCGAGTGATCGTGAAAATGAAAATTTTTCCCATATTGGAACAAATTATATATTCGAGAGTCACTGAGTTCAGGGAATGGAGGGGATTTGAAACGGCGTTAAGTGCTTCGGCGAAGGATTGGCTGGCAGGAACTACTACAGATCAAGATGGTTGTTCCCGTGCGGCTCAAAGTGGAAATGCCTCTAAAGGAACCAAACCGCTTTTTTTTCATTTCAGGTAGTTCTGTTTTCAGAACTGCTTTTTTTGGCCTTCCGGTAATCGCTTATCGAAAAAAGAGATTATTAACCACTTGATTATGTTGCCAGGAGGGTGAGTTTTGAGAGGAGAAATCCTTATTTTAACTCCAGAACTTTTCTGCTTTAAAACACTAAACAGATTCCTTTATCTAGGCATCTGGTGAAGAGCAAGTGATAAATTTTTAATTTTCATAAAGTTCATAATATTTTTTAACTCGAAACTTGAAAGGAACTTTTCTCTAAAACTCCCTCTTATAGGGAATTCAAGATTTATTGTCGAAATGTAATGTAATACAAGTAAAAGGTAAAGCAAAAGCAATATAGTACAATGAAAAGTACAAGCACAAGCAATTGATTAATAGGTATTATATGCTTATGAGTGACATTAGGTTCATTTTCGGAAATCGTTAATATTCTCAAGAATTCCTCGAACTTTCTCGACTATTCTGTTCGTACGTCTTCTTCGCTCATCTTCTGAGCAGTTTTTCACGGATGCAGTGAACATTTCATAGAGCGTCGTGAGGAAGGCAAGAGCTGCCGTTGGGAACAAATGCCGATAGGACGTTTCCAGCTGAAATTCTCCGACATGGCATTAGAAGAATTGCATTTCGAAGAGAAAAGACGTTTTTCAGATGTTTTGACAAGTTATTAAGGAATTCAGTAAGGTTATATTCGCCCAGGCCTCTGAACAGGGCTCTCAGCTGAGCCCTGTTCAGATTCGCTGCGCTATGGTCCGCACCCTGGGATTGGCCACGTCTGTGAGCTGATCCCTACGCCGACTTGTTCTGTTCCTTTTTTTGAGGAAGAACAAATCAGGTTCTCAATTNGGAAAAGACGTTTTTCAGATGTTTTGACAAGTTATTAAGGAATTCAGTATGGTTATATTCGCCCAGGCCTCTGAACAGGGCTCTCAGCCGAGCAGGATTCGCTGCGCTATGGTCCGCACTCTGGGATTGGCCACGTCTGTGAGCTGATCCCTACGCCGACTTGTTCTGTTCCTTTTTTTGAGGAAGAACAAATCAGGTTCTCAATTCTTTCATCATAGCTTACTTCCCAGGCTAGCTCAGGCAGAGCACAGGGGAAACTTTTTTTACCTTTAATTTGGGTTTCTATGCAGAATTTCAATTCTGCCCCACAAATCAACAAAGGAGAAAGAAACATGATTAAGGAGAAATTTCGAGTGAAAAAATACTCAGGGTGATGAAGAGGAGGCCCATAGGTACGCGCTGCGCGCCATGGTTGGTGCGGTGCGGTGGCGGAGGAGTGCCCGAAACCTTGACCCTAATGGCGTCGCTTGACCACTTACAACTCATTCATTCTGTAACGCACCTGTTCAAGAGTAAACAGTTCATGATCAAGATGCTGATGGAATTCCGTATGATAGAATTCCAGAATTTGTTTCCAGTTTTTCAGACGAGTTTCGCCGGACACGGAGGTGATCAATAGGCGGCATAAGTCCTCAGCTGGGCTTCCATAGTGGCACATCGGAAATAAAAATTTGATATAGGCTCAGGCACTTCGTGGTCAAAATAAATGATCCTCCAACCTGCCAATCAACAATCTTGCTGATTTTCATCTGTTCTTGTTCATCGTAGTGCCATAGTATATTTGGAGCATACATATCACCATGGACAAACACGGATTCCATGCCTAGAGGAGTCGTTTGAAAGAAATTTGCACGAATAAATTCCTTTTTTCTCGAATATATGGAAGGGTGACCGATGCTTTGCTTCAGATGGGTAAGTTATTACTATCACTTCTACTCTAAATACCTATCCTTACCTATGGTTACCTATGGTTCAAAGACGAGTAATTACAGACGGGTAACCGGGAAACATAAATATGGGATCAATAAGGCTTCGTGCAAAGGCAACCTTCCAATTCATGGCTCAACCTAAGAAGAATTGACTTTGATGAACATTCAACCACCCCCGAAGAAATAAAAAACAATTCCTCCATCGTTACGATTGTTTTGAGCTGAACTAGGCCAATAACCTCTCAAACAACAGGTATCGTGACTACCTAGATAAGCGTGAAGGTTTTTTATTTATTTGTTTATCACAACAATGCTATAGAACTGTACCGATTTCCAGGTGGTGCGTTTTGATAGCCTTTATTGAGACGATATCTCTACTCCGACTATCGACAGAATTTATTAGACTTGACAAGGAATCATCGAGAGATCGCAGCTCGTCCAGACGGAAGCTAAGGACCTGAAGCACTTTCCAGTACATTCGCATCAACAAAAATTTCGGTTAGCAGAAATTACGACCTTTCAATAATTGACCGAAGTGGGATTCGATCTCATGAAATAGGCAAGGATCTAGCTGCGCCTTTGAGCATTGCACTATCCGCTTGAAAATCTTAAACTTCCATATAAGGTACTTACTGTGGGTTGCAGCATTTCACTGTACAGTTCTTCATACACATTCACATTGAAGCAATCCTTTTTCTTTTCCACTGACATCATACCAATTTGTACATCTATCAGAGCACGTAGCACCTGAAAATAGTAATTCAATGAGTTGTATCAATGAAAATGATCTTTCACCCTAGTAGGAAATTTTTTCTAAATATTTTGGCAAGAGTCCACTTGCGAGAGCAGAAAAAAGGGAACTTATCACAGCAACACCTTGTCCGGGAAGTGGGAAAAGAGTACACGAAAAAGGATAAAGTTTTCGGCCTCAATCAATCCCGTCGTGTGAGTGCTGATAAGCAATGTCGTATAAGCCATTAAGAAGGCAAGGGCAAGCGGGGTCTCGGTAGTGTAAGGGATAAAAGCACGGTCCCGGGAAAGGACAAGTACGGATTTGAGTCCCGTCCGAGCCTGGAGTTTTGTCCATAAATCGTCAACCTTGTGAGAAAACAGAGAAGTTATCATAGCAACACCATGTCTGGGAAAAAGGTACAGAAAAAAGATAAAGTCTCCGGCCCCAATAAATCTCGATGTGGGATTTCCCTCCCTATTGCGATTCCCAAAAGACGAAAAAATTATATCATATAATGATCTGTGTATAAGCCGAATGAAGCTGATTTGACGATCTATAAATTACCGTATCCAAAGTAAGCTGATTAATGAGAAATGCTGTATGCCACCAGCTAACAAACCTCTTTAGTCTGAGAAAGTGTCAAGCAATCGTGAATTAACGAAGGGAACGAATTTTTAGCATATTCCATACAAAGAAATCCCGTGCTCTCATTTTCCTGAAACTATACTTCGATTAAAAACTCTCGAAAAGTTATTGTCTTCCATTTTCCTCTTGATGACTGAGCCTTAGCAGCAAAGAAATGAAGTAGGTATTAGCTAATAGTGGAATATTCTACAGGGGAACTGAAAGAAATGCTTGAGTCATGCAAATGAACGAGTATACTTGCAATTACTGAGATGCCATTACAGTAGTATGTATCGATTGATGTAATCGTTACGCGCGCGGCATACTGCGCCTGGGATCGCAAAGTCTAAACAGACTAAAACCCACCTTATCGAATTTTCTACCATGGTAGAGCTTCGGAACAATGCTCAGTTGTACAGGCAGTTGTGCTACCGTCTCATAGAAGAGAATTTCATTGTTGTGCCACTGAAATCAGAATTTTTAAGCAGCTCAACTTTCCAGTGGGCAGGCTTGACTACCTTTCGAAGATTTCGCTCCCGTGCTTCCCATAATAGCTTATTTCGTCTTGCCACTTCCCCTTTTGCAGGTTTTTTCGAGCGATTTGAGATCGATGCTGAATTTGCGAGCGTCGCTATCTGAACGAGGTTAAGTTGGTTGATGTCTTTGTTGAGCCTCCACGAATAGTCCCACTCTCTCAACTCCAAATCAGATCTCCTATGGCGATTGGGTTTGTATTATAATTCGCTTAAATACTATTTATGGTAAACCACCATTAGCAATTCAAGCGTTTTATTATACCAGACAAGTTCGGCAGGCACTAATTCGACCAGCGGACTGATTCTGTGTCAATCATAGGAATGATAGGTTAAGGAGGGTCACGGCGGTCACTGCACACGCTTTATGCTTTGTGAAACTCACTTTGAAAACCACTTCCGTTGGTAGATTGGCGGAATCACCCGACCAGTTGCATCGTAGAACACCAACGCTGGAGAGGAATCCCTGAACTTATCGACAAATAAATGAAAACATTGCTCTCAACTACGGAAAGTATAATTCATAGGTAGAGCCATGGGGCAAAATACCTTTTCCTCATCAGCATTTCCGCTACTCAGAAGGCGTGGCTAAAGTACATCCGAAGACGGAAAGTTGAGAGTCACAGACGGTTTCTTTCAGTATTGTATGAATATGTGGTTCGTAGTGGAACAGTAGTGAACTCTGCCGCTACTATCCTTGCCTTCCTCCCTCGACTCTTGGCCTTCTTAAAGTTAACCCCTTGCCCTTCAGGGTACGCTGCGCTTGTGTGCGGGCACTCTTCCTTCCATCTTAGGCTACAACCTGTTGAGTTACGCACGCTAACGCGAGCACCATATGCCCACTACCGCTTACCTACGACTTGTTAGAGGATCAATGTAAACAGTGATTGCTTCCCACTTCATAACTGATCCCTCACCGCGCTCACTTGACATTCACACTCTTCGTCGTGCCTACATGACTTTCGGAAGGACGCACAAACGGGATACAAACAGGCACACAGAGTTACCGCTCTACATATGGAGAGATCGGTCTCCTGTTTCTTGAAAATGAATTATGGGAACGAGCTGAGATTAGCGATCAGTCATATCTCTCTCCCTCTGTGGAATCCACTCCTGGACGCAGTCAAATGTTAATCCCTGGTCAACCAATTTTTGCATGTGTCTTGACTAAGGTGATGGCAATGGGTGTGGGCGAGCTATCGTCAAACGCACAAGTGATCTGGGCAAAACTGGGAAGCAGATGTAAGTGGCTGTTGCCGTTCCCTCACCCAATTGAAGCAAGGACGGTTCGAAAAAGTTGGCGTATACATCAATATCACACCCTCAAGGTCTCCAGTAGCGGGGCAGCGAACAATCTGCCTTTAGAGTGTTCTGCGATCTCCCTGCTACGAATTGGTCGCTGGACTGCGTCTTCACCATTCCCACATTCTCAACTGTACAACCCTTTTCAACTTTTTCACCTTTCCGGCCTTTTATCACCAATTTTGACTTTTTTCACGGAAATTTTCAGTTTTGGGCAGGCTACCGCTCATTCATCGCGGTTTCATAGGACACAGTTTCTTCCAGGACCCTTACCTTTACCGGAGGCAAGTCCGTCCAGGTTGTCAGTCCCGGGATCCTCCGGGTTCTTCCCGAAGTGGGGTTACTAGTGCCGACCACCCTACAATCAGTAAACGAGCCGAGTGATTCCTTCAGAACGATTGCGGCGCCCTCAGAATTACTCAACCTGGCCGCTGGTCGGCAGGTGCTCGACACCGCCTACGCACTGGGTGTTCGACACACCACCATTCTCACCCAAGGGACGATCCACCAAAGAACCTCCTTGAAGCTCTATCAGCACGTGTCCCGTATTCTATACTGCTTTTCGTGACGGCTCAAGGTACAGATCCATTTTCATAAGAGTACACAGAGATGAAACTGTGCTCCAGGAGATCGCGTGGTATGAGGAACACATGGAGCAGTGCTGGACAAACCAGTGAAATGTAGCTTTTTTGTCCCCATCTCGTACCTTTTACGCTTTGGGTCTGAATGATGTGAATGACAACCCAATACCAAACAACTTGGGTTTTGAACTAAGCTTTTTCTGCGGCATTTCCTTCATTTCCAAATTTATGCCCGGCTCCCACCTCTTCAAGCAGTTTTCAGCTTTCCCCACGAACGAAGCAATCCGATGGTTGGCCATCTTCCTCGAAGCTCAGCAACCTCAGGACCCAATTCCAGGTCTACAAGCACTCTTCGACCGCAGTTCAACCGCGTCAATCCAGAGACAATCATCAAAGAAGTGGTGTTATATATGGGTGCGGTGTTATGTAGACAGTTGTATCGTACGTCCTACTGTTCATGTAGCTTGAATATCTCGAAGAGAAGGTAAGAGAAAGACAGCAGGCAGAGTGGAAGTGATGGTGTGTCGGATAATGGTGACCATTGCTTGCTCCCAACCTAAAGCAAAGTAACCTAATGCATTGGCTAGTCCTGAACCATGGCAGTTTAAAGCTTGTGGCCATGGGTTTCCAGAATGCGCTGGGATGGGTGTGGGACGTGTTACCTGGGGCCTGAGCTAGCAAAGACTCAAGGGAAAGTTATTCCTTCGGGTTCGACCCACACTCTCTATTTACTAGACGGGCCACTCGGCCAACGCCAGGCTTCCCTTCTTTTTGTGGTAGGGTTGTAATAATCGGCAAATCAACCTCTTCTCGTCTGGAACATCGGGGAGGGAGTGGGCCCTTGTGTCATCAGCCATTCAATGTTGAAATGGCTACAGAGTTTTTCTACTGATTTATACATCAACTGACCCTTGCAGATCGTTACATAAAGCCATGTAACATCTTAAAAACGAGACCAGGCCAGATTAGGTCCTTTACTCATTCCTCACCAACCAGCTGTGGAAAGTACATTTCTGGGGCCTCGTTGCAGGGTACCCCCGTAGTCATGCACTTCCCAAATTGGAATATGATCAACAACTAAATCAAAAGAAAGGAAAAAACCTGATTTTCGCCAATTCGAATGATTTCCTTTTCACCAGCACATTTTATTGACGTCTTTAAACCTCTTCGCAATCCTCGTTCCACATCCTCAAGATTCACTCCGGTCCCAAATAGACCTTCAGACGTCTCGACCAAACCCATCATGGCTAAAATTTAGAACACTTATCTTGTGTAAAATGAGCTGCGGGGTTTTACGCTAACGAAGGGTTCCTAGACTTTAGGAAGTCAGTAAAACATTGATGGTGGCGTATATGAAAGCTTATAAGCCTTCTGTGAGAAACAAGTTCGAGAAAATTGACTTCCAAATCGGAAATCGGAAAGCGAAACTCGGAATTTGCGGAATGTGCGGAATAGTGTTGTGAGCCACTGAAGAGTCAACTAGTAAGGTCTAGTAAATAAGGAGACTGAAGTGAAAACCAGGTGAATAGAGGCTGTCGGCCAGAAGTAAACGGAACTTTCGCCTCATTACAGAGCGCTGGTTTTCTCAACACAGACACACACCCTTCAACACACTCGACAAGTGGCTCATAATAGGTGAAAATGGCGCCACTTTGACGGCAGAACACAACACAACATCTACTCCATTCCAAGGCTGCTGTAGTGGTTGGCTGAGGTAGGGTCTCAAACGGAAGTAAGAGCTTTCCGATTGAAAGGACGCTGGAAGGACTGCTTGGAAGGGGCTGCCGGACTCTCATGGTTGTTACCTGCCGTTCAAAGGTTCCCGCGGTCCCGTCACAGTCGTCGACTACTGTTTTGAGTGGTGACAGGAAACGATAGCTTCAGTGGGAGTTCTCCAGTATCCTAGTTCTCTTAGCAATCCAGAAAAGCCATCAGGTGATCAAAGCCTTCAGTTACCTCACAAAAGACTACAAAAGACTAAATTCAGATACCTCACGAGAAACGAAGGTATACCCTGAGTGAAAGGCTGCCTTTTTTGCTGAATTCCTTTGCCGACTTCATCTCAAACCTACCTATCTGCTGTAACACTAAAGGACATCGTTTGCGATAAAATCTACAGCCTATTTTCCACTTTCGGCGAACGTTTCTGAATCGAGTTGACACCGCTGAACAGATGGTGAGTGAACGAGTTCCTATTGGCCTCTTAAAAGCTTTTCTGGAAAACAATCATGGCATCCTACGGCCACAGTTCCGACTAATTTCTTGCTTATAAATGAACAGATAGCTGTTTGCTGTCAAGATTGGCGCACTATAACCGAACTTCTACCGCTTCTCCATCTTCTGAATGATTGTGTAGCACCTTTGCAACGTAGTACATATGTAGTACATTACCAAAGCTTTACTCCGTAGGAAGGTTTACAGAAGCTTTGATCACAAAATCAGTTCGCTCTTATCTTCTTTGTTCCATAGGATGGGGTGAGGTTTGCGCAGATGAATGGTAGAGGTAGTGTAGTTGCAAGCAGCCCACTATCAGACTAGCATGGTACGGGGATTGAATCCGCGTTGGCCGACCAATTCTTCCATCCCCACTGGGCCGTGTTATTGGTACCGGGCTCGTCTGGGAAGATGAAAGCTGATCTGTGCAAAGGGTTTCACCCGCAGCCATTGTATAACCCACATACTCACACAAACCGCCTCTACAGATCTGAATGGAAGTCGAATGCAGGCCGTATCACAGAAATGGAACTTTTTGATGTCAAAGGCTCTAGACTGGGAAATTTAGTAAGGAAGAGAAGCACGCAGCGGACAAAACAATGGCGACATTGGTAAGGGGTATCTGGTAGCAAAAGATACATATGTACACCAATTAGAACATAGGCTGATCTCAGCAAGGAGCTTCATGAAAGGAAAGAACACAAACATTTTAAATTAATCAAATTAATTTCGATGGATGCATGGCTTATCCCAGAGGATTTGATAAGACCTGGTCAGCCTATAAAATAGGCAGCAGTTGATATTGATAGTCACTCTAATACATCCCTGAGAGCAGATCGACCTCATAACTTCCTTGTCCAAGAAATGGAAGAATAACTGCTACAAAACAAGCTGTTGCTTATACGCCACTCATTCAGCTGCCGTCAAAATTGCGTTCAATGTTGGTATGGGTGACGAAGTAGTGAAATCCCTCCCAAATCCATTGGATTGGAAAAAGCTGGAGCGAACGGTGGGGAGAACCGTACAAAGTGACTGTGACAGGAACAAATAACCAAAAATGGTGCGCAGAACATCGTTCTGGGGCAAGAAGTTCGCATTGATGTAATTGTTAGATAGCGTCCTCGTTTTATGTTCACTAATCTGATGAAATAACTTTTGCAAGCGTTTGCAGTCCCCCATTGCTTTTATATAGGAGCAAATCACTTTATAGTTCATTTATCTAAATTGTTGCGGGTGATTCGGACAGACCTGACCGCGTATCCCAGAAGGATTCCGGGGATACACATCCTTTTTATCTGAAGAAGTGGAAAATCACGTCGAAACCGACCTGAGCCAACATAAACGCCCAAATGTTTCTTGTCTAGGATGCTTCGTGAAGGTTTACGCACTCAAATGGTGAAACATTCTCAATGGGGGTACACTACATGGCGCATCCCAAAAGATCAAGCAATTTTGTTTCAACTAGTTTTGGATGGAATGTTTCAATGATAGGATTTACTTCAAGATTTGAGAAATAGCTCTCCACTTCAGGACTTGTTCACCCAAAAAAAGACCGCCATCGCTGAGTCGACCCCATTTTGGAATACGCCATGAACTCTAACCATCTTGGAATTCTCGCCGATGACATTCGAATGCGACATTTAGTTCAAATAATCACAGGACTTCTCAATCCGTATTTCCAGAGCCTCAGACAAATGCAAACCATCCATCAGGACAGACCAAAAGCTTAGTCACCCAGCCAGGACTTTGTTCCCAGAACCACGTGTAATGTTATTGCTCCTATTCGAGTTCAGCTGGTAAATACCACGACTCCTATTAGTGAAAAGGGTTCTCGTCGCAGAAATCTCTCGATGCTAGAAAATTTCCGGGACAAAAAAGACTTGAAGACTTGCGGAACGTATTCAAAAAATCCACAAAAAACGATCATGAGCTTGTAAATTTAAAAAAATCAAAAAAAAATTAGAAGGAGAAAAAATTGAGATTACCAAGAAAGCGGCATGGATGTGACCCGTGTGCCCTCGAAAAACTGTCCACTCCCGACAAATGTAGTTTTTCAGAACGGATGGATCCGCTTTCGTCCAGATTTTTAATCTCGCACCTATAGATCATTATCTATCGCTCCCCTGTGGAATAGCGCCCAAAAAACGAACGCCTCTACAACAAGATGATTTACAGTGGAGAGACAGATAAAAAATCCATTTTGCCTAGATGAACTGATAATTTCGGAGAGGAAACGAGTCGGCAATGGAAAAGGCGGTGGCAAGAAGCGAACGAAAGAAACGAAAGTGGCTAGATGGCTTTCACGACGCGCACTTGCACTGCCCGTGGGATCAGATAGTGTCATAGCCAACACGGCTATCCAATCTTCGGGAGTCGTTCGATGGAGCGAAGGGTTTTTTACTCGATAAATCTTGGCCTCACATGGGCTAGACCATGGGCTCTTGTAGTTTTGATCAAAATAGTTTATTTACTACCTTGGCCGGGTTGTAATGGCTTTGGTTTATGTTTCGGCCTTGTAATCGCTGTCACCGTCTGGCAACTAGAGGAATACTGCTTAGAACTTTGGCTTTGCCTTTGGTTCAGTGCTTATGCCATATTAAGAGCATTCATAATGGAGTCCCATACCACAAACATTTGCTAGATATAGCACAACCGGTTGTTGTCTAGACCACATCAATCTGACCGATGGGTGACTGGTCAGATAAGCTGACCCCTCGACATGAAGCAGCTAGCCGGTTCCCCATCACGAGAGCTTTGAAAGCTAAATCAAGGATAGGAAAGAGATACAGCCACCTCCAGCAGTGAACTAGCTCCGTTCTAGGTTTCTACCGCCACCGAGTTCATGTTCGTGGTCTGATGATCTGAGGGCTCTCACTGTTCTCAGATTAGCGATCATCTAAGCAACAACCGGTTGTGATTGTGGCTAAAGAGACCAACAAGTGTTTGTAGTTAACGATTCTAGGCACCCTTAGTCTGGAATAGATCAGCTTACTTTTATTGATTCATAAAGGCTGTGGTTTTGCTTTGCCTAGGTCATAAACAGAATTCCAGGGCTCGCCAATCTATTCACAAAGCTTGGGTATGAAGGGGCTTGACATCTGGCCTCTCCCCAAACAGAAAACTATTCTGGGCGCCTGATCTTGTGTCAAGGATAAAAGCATCGAACTGTCTCGTTCAGGCTCATTATTTGGGGCGTTATTTGTAGTAGGTTAGCAGACGAGTTTTTTTTACTGGTGATTGGTCCAGCAAAAAACGCCATGTACTCTAACTACCCTCTCTATAGCTTGTTATCATATACCGAACCATACTGAAATACGCATGATTTACTGCCATTTTCCTTTTTAGTCACTCTTACAACCCTATCCAAACACTCTTGCAGGGTTGGCCGACCCCAGCTTTCCTCCTTTCTTGGCTACAAATCAAGAAGAAAAACTAGAAGAGGATCTGACTAGGACGGCTTAATCTAAACAACAAACAACAATTCAGAACAAACCATTGTGGGCCGCGGTGGAGGAGCCTGGCCATCGAGCAGAACATGAAAAGAGCTATTCGAAGATGCATTTGTACATTTCTTCGGTTCCGAACAGAGATCGAATGACATCCACATCCTGAAAAACATTGTTTTTCAGTGATTTCTGGAATCTTTACCTAATTAGCTTAGTAATTCTGCAGGTAAAAACATCATACTGCGACATCATAGAACATCAGAAAATAGGCGTGGAACAGCGTGGAACAAGATTTTCAAAAGTCGATAAGGCTTGCGTTCATCGATTTGGCACCAGAGAGCCCTTCATACGCCATTCCGAACCCGAATATCGGATACAATTCTTCCAGTGTTAGTGAAGCATTAATAGCAAAACGATTGAAATTTTCGCAAACTTCATCAAAAGAGCCTTCCTACAAAATTCGTCAATTTGACAACGGAAAGGTAGAAGCTGAATCTGAAGCAGAAGTCGCCAAAGCCTGATTAGGTTTCAGTCACTCCTCTTGAGGGTATGGGTCTGGATACGATTGCGGTAAGTGGGAGAGAAATGGATCAATGGTTTACGGGCCACCCTACCAAGCGAAAAATGACGATTCAGGGTGCCAAATATTTTACTGTGTCATTTCGGTAGAATTTCGAATTCCCTACATTCTCTGCGTACAGAAGCACCCGGAGAACAATGGTGGTGAAATCTAAACTCAAATGAGAATTTAATTTTTTCAGTGTAGGGATAGTATTAATAGCAAAACTATCAAAATATTCGCAACTCCTTGAAGAATACCTTTCCATAAAATTTTCCTTCACTTGTGATCGTTAAGTTATATTCCTCAAAAGTTTCAACTACCCTCTAAGGAACGCTGCCTTCAGAACTTGAACAAGCTTCAGCTCTACTTCTTGGAAACAAGTACCCATATAAACCCTCGATTCACCCATTGTAGATACCCAAGTCAGTCAGGAAGTGGTCAAAATAAGTGTCAGCAAGGTTAGATGACTGATTTGTTGGAAAACTTCAGCTCGAAAACCTTACAAGTACGTTTATTATTTAAATACTCTTGTGCCGTGCGAGGTTGTTAGGTGGAACGA